TTAAAGGCTTAAATGATAAAGAGAAGTGGATCAGCTATCAAGGCTGTTAGTAATGACACAGTTGACCCTTGCTACTGTACATAGCACCACCTTGAGGAAAACCATGGGAAGAACTATTTCATATTTAACAAAGCCTGAGTCATTGATGCATTTGCTTGGTATTTACACAGCATTTCCAGGTATGCAAAGCCTTGTTCTGCCTTCTGGAAACACAGTGAACCCAAACAAAATGAAACAATGCCCTTTTTCTTGGAATTTATCAATGAAGAATGTCAGTTTTGTTTTTAAATAATGTATGGTCATATGCAAACTAATTCTTAAAATAACTATAAATGTAGAGAAACATTAAAGAAAGGTTTCTGTATCACAAATAGTTAAACCAGACCATCACACATTTTCCTTTCTTAATGATTTTATAGGAGAGATTTGTGTAACTCATGGTTTAATTGTACCACTCCATTCAGATAATCCTAACTTTAATGGGTGGTGTGGCACACTACCATACACTACTTTGAGGACTGAAGTTCAAGCTCCCCTGACCTACCTGAAGGGTGAGCTTCTGAGGACTTGAAGCTGTGACCCCACCCTAGAATGATGTCAAATTGTCATTGGTTTTGTCTTCCAGGAAAGTGTTTACACATGGATAAGGGGCTCTCTTTATCCCAAAGCATCCCCCAGTCTGCTCTTCAATCTGTGTGTCAGCCTGGGGAGATTCTTTTGCTGTGTCTTCAAACCTCCTAATTTCTTTCTTAAGGTTCTGATTGTTCATTTAGCAAATGCTCATTTCTGCTATTTTATTGACTTTAGCTCTAGCTGTTTTGCCATACTCCATTAATCTCATTATGCCCAGTTTCATTAAATCCATCAGCATTTGAGCATATTTATAATTTAAAAGTCCGTATCTGCTAATTCCATTATCTCTGTCATTTCTGGATCTGTTTCAAAGACGTTTTTCTATTTATAGACTATGTTTTCCTGTTTCTTGTCTTGTATAACAAGTTTTGGAGTGCTGCATAGACAGTATAAATGTAGTCTCATTGCGTGCCTGTGTGTTTGTGATCTTCATTTAAGGAGTGTTGGGTCATTGTTCTTTTTTTCTTCATTCCTTTAAAAGTTATTTTAGCATAATGTTTTTACTTACTGAGACTTCCATAAAAGCACACAATGTTTTTAGATCATATTTAACTCCTCCTCTACAACTCACATTACTCTGCCCAAGCCTTAGGTTTAATTAATCTGACTCTGGCATAATTTTTTCTCTAGGAATAGATTAGCTTTACTGCTTAGACAAGTCACTTCTGGGCCATTTCTAAGTGCTGAGCGCTGAGACTGGTTGCTCTGCTTCGCCTCCAGCTCCACTCCCAACTCTTCCGTCTGCTGGTGCTCATTCCACAGCAGTTTGGCCATTTGTCCCTGGCTTCAGTGAAGTTTTCACTGTGTGCAAGCTCAGGGCACCCTTACCACCAGCATGTGGATTTCTACTTTCTGTAGCCTCCCTTACCCCCAGTACTCTACCCACATCTTTCAGGTGCCTTAAAATCCTGTTCAAACTGCCATGAGGCCACTCTGTTCTGATGACAACATCTCAGCTCTGCCATTAAAACTGTGCCTAAGTAAAACACTGTCTGTGGTGGGGCCCCTTTCTAATAGTTCCCTTTCCTAAGACGCCATGGTCTTGGATTTCCTATGTTCTAATCTTCGAAAACATCTGCTCCTAATATTTTAACCAGTGTTCTAGCTATTTATGACAACAATCTTTGTGACAACAATGACACTAAAACCAAGAGCCTAATCTCCGGTAGCTCTCATCTGTGCATGTAGTACGTCACCTCCGGAATGCAAAGCTTCCAGTTTATGACATCCTTAGGATGTTTTGTTTACTTGTTCTAGGGGTCAAATCCAAGGCCTTGAGCACACTAGTGGAGTGCTCTTCCAGTGATCTAGATTTCCATCCTAAATCTTCTTCATTAAGATGCATTTGAGAGCTATTATGGGATGTGAGTGTGGAGCATAACTTTTAACTATCTAGACAGTAAACATGTACTGCAAAGCAATGTGGCAGAGGAAGAGAGATGCCAGTCTAGACTCAAGTAATTCTGGCTGGGCTGTCTGAATTAACCAAGTGTTTACAATTCAGGATATACCAGAACCTTGTTTTTTTTTTTTTTTAAACATATTTTAGTCTCTCCTTAAAGAGGTAGACAGAGCAAATACTGCCAGGCATAATACACCGTCTTTCACATGTGTTCCACCCTTGACAAATGGTGTTCAAGAACACCATTACTCAAAATCCATTACTCAAAAGTAAGAAAAATAATATGCCCTAGTGATACAGGCTCTTTTTTTTGGGGGGGGGTGAGATGTCAAAATCTAATATTTACAATTTGATAATGATTGACAGTTTTATAAACACCCTAAATACACCATTGAGCTGTGTATTTTAGCAAGTGAACTCTATTGTGTGTGAAATGTATCTCAATAAAGCTTTAAAAAAACCCAACCCTTTATTTGAAATAATTGATGTGAATTTTATCTCATTGCTTCATCACAACTTTGTGCAATAATTGTAGCTTTGTCCATGCCAATCTGCAGCATCATTAGAGCAACAAAAAATACTTAATTTTTGGCAATGATTGTTGGAGATAAATTTTTAGTATGAAGAGGCTGGGTGTAACCAAGAATAATGAGTACTGTTGGACAGGAAGTGAATAGGTCGCTTTCAAGGTGTTCTCTGGAGCCTCCCTTGGCAATTCAAGGAGCATGAGACATGCAGCATGAGACTCTGCTTGGCTTTTTGTTTGGTTTGGTTTTATTTTTTGGCATTGCATCCTATAGACTGGAGAAATCCTTTGCTAGAAAGATGAAAATTGTTAGTAATTAAAATTAAGCTGTAAGTTCTATGCAAAGAAGACTGTCTCCTAAGTGAGGAACATCTGGCTCATTTGCAATAAAGCTTAAAGAGTCACCGTCAGCAAGAGCCCTGTTTGCACTGGCTTTGGACTCTATTCAGTTTATTTACATTATTGTCTCATCAACAATTCCAGGCAAGGCGGTGTATGCCTGGAGTCTCAGCTTCTCAGGAGGTGGACACAGGAGGATGGCTTGATCCAGAAATGGAGGACCAGCCTGAACAACCTTACTGAGAGTTCATCTCCAAATGCCCCCTAATCGAGACAGCTGGTGTGGTGCACATTTGTAGCCCTACCATACAAGAAGCTTGGGGAGGAGGGCTGTTGAGAGTTTGAGGCAAGCCCAGGCTATATAGCTAGACTCTTTCAAACAAAAACAAAAACAAAAAGACAAACAAACCAAAATTCTGCTTAAAGTGGTTACAGATATGGCTCCGTTTTTCTTTGATTTTGTCCATGATGATGGGCCATGGCTAATAGCATTTGCTAAGAGAAGGCCACACAGTCGAAAAAGATCCTGCTACCTTCCGGCTGGGGCACCTTAGCTGTCTCCTTGTTGAGTGAAGAATTCTACTCTTGCATCCTCAACATCCTGCCCTGTGCTAAAAGTGTGTTTTCATGTCATCCCCACACGGCATCAATCTAAACTCTTCCTAAACACCCACCAGTCTTCCCGAAAGAGAACTCTAATCTGCAATGCTAACCTCAAACCTAGGCGCTTTCCTGCTTCGCTGCCTCATGCCTCATGTCCTTAGAGCTGATCATTGAGCTACAGTTCCTGGAAAATCCTACTCATGTAGGTGACTGATGAGTCTCACCTGGGCTCTCTCTACTCTGGCATCTGCGGCTGAGGCAGGTTATCTCTGTGATCCCTTCAGGACATGAGAGTTTAGGTAGGGTAGATTTCTCAGGCTTTACAAGTTCAAGTTAATACATTCAGGTTTTTACATGTTTTTATTACAATTAGATATTCTCTCTGTATGCCTGTGTGAATACTCACACGCTAGCATATTCCAGACAGACATGATTGTGGAGGTCAGAGGAAATCTTTCAGGGTTCCTATCACTCCTTTCCCCACTTGGGTCCTAAAGATGGAATTTGCGTCATTAGGCTTGGTGGCAATTGCCTTTACATGCTGAGCTGCCTTGCCAGCCCTCAAGTTAATAGTTTGACTTTTACATTATTGTTATTACACACAGAACTAAAAGAAACTCTAATAATTATTACCTTTATTTCTGGAGAAGCATCTGGCATCACAACTGAAGAATATGGATTTTTGAGTCACAAACTTAGTTTCTAACTCTGCCCTGATGTTGATGAGCTGAGGGTCTTTAGACAAAATATTCAAGCTCCCTGAATCTTAGTCCTCACATTTATAAATATCTCACAGAGAAGATGAACTCACTCAGGGGAAATGTATAACACAATGAGTATTGCTGAAGCATAGCTTAGAAACCAATCAGTCATATCATGTGGACTGTGAATTAGGCCCAAATCCCAATGGGTAGGCAGCTTGGTCCCCGGGCTTACAGCTATTAGAAAGTGGTGGGACTAGGAACCAGCAGGAGGGAGTTGGGTCACTGGGGGATCTTCAAGGGGATTTGAGCCCCTTATCCCTTTTCTCCCTTTGTTCCTTGGCCCATGAGAAGAATAGCTTTACTTCCTGCCTTGATGCCGGGCACCTTGCCACGGGCCTAAAAGCAAAAGAGCAATTTAGTCATGAAACCGTGAGCCAAAAGTAAGTCTTCCGTCTTTTTAAGTTTATTTCTTTTTCTGGTACTTCACATAAAAATACAAAATGGGTGAGTACAGTTCAATATCAGTATTGACATTTTTGTTCATCTCAGGTTATTATCAGCTTAATTGTTCAAGTAGGACATTACTGTCTCAAACATTTACTAGACAGAAAATAATGATTACTAACCCTATTATTTAAATAAACTCTGTACTCATTTATTTATTCTTGGTTTAATGAGATGAAATTTTGGTATGTAGCCTAGGCTTATACTCAACCATCCAGCCACATTTAAAAGGCGAGCCATATATTGATCTTTGTGCAAGCAATCCTAAGATTTTACTTGGGAATTTTATTCAAATAGCATCAGTAGTTGGGTCACAACTTGACCTTGAGATTGAGTGTTCTAATACTCTCTGGTACGTACGAGTACAGGTGACATTATTCACTGCACTTTCCTAGAAGATAGAAGATGGAAATATTTCAGTAAAGCTGACAAAATTGGCACCTAGGAAATATTGACTACATACTATCCACATATGAGAATTTTTGGAAGTTTGAAAACAAATGTATATTAGATTATACAGATAGGTACTACTTATATACATATTATTCTTTGTGGATATATATATATATACATATATATATGCAATTATATATTTAGAGATATGAAAAGAGAAGGGAATACAGTTTGGAATCTGAAGCTTTTAAGTATTTTAAGGCTCTACAGTGAAGCATTTTTGCTGTCTTATGTATTGTCCGGTTTTTAAATAAGTATACGCATGCACATGAATGTAGGATTGCACCATTTTCAGAGAACTGACAAATTCACATGGTGTTCTGTTGTCTCAGCCTTCTGAGAAGGTACTGCTCACCACTTAAGGAGTTCTGAGTCATGGGAAGATTTAATGACTTGTCCAAAGTTCTGATTGACAGAGATAAACCTTAGATTCTTCCTAGTAAAATTAACTACTACTATGAACCATTGTTTGCCCACTGGTTAATGTCATTATAAGAAGCAATAAGCTCGTTCTTCCTTTTTTTTTTTTTTTTTTTTTTTTTTTTGAGACAGGGTTTCTCTGTGTAGCCTTGGCTGTCTTGGAACTCATTCTGTAGACCATGCTGGTCTTGAACTCATAGAGTTCTGCCTGCCTCTGCTTCTCAAGAGCTGGTATTAAAGGCATATGCAGTAATGATACAAAGAATAAAATTCAAACCTTCCTTATAGCAAGAAAAAATGTCCTGTATTAAGAGTGTGGACAGACCTTTTTGTTTTCCTCAATGTAGACCTTACGTCTTTCCTTTGAACTATGTTACATTATGCCATGGATAGTTTTCTTTTTCCCTTTTTTTTTCATTTTGGTGCTGGTAGAATTTGGGATAAGAATCATTGCCTGGATTTGATCCCATCTCTAGAAGTTGGAAAGGTACCTGAGAAGCCTTGCTAAGAGAAGCAAAAGGGCTCAGTAAAGCTAAGCTGGCATTCCGCCAACTGAGTTCTAATTCCAACAGCCCCACATTCCAGCTCTCTGTGTATAGGTAGGTCAGTGTATGGATCTGTTTTCTGGTCTGTTCCATGGGCTAGTTTGCCTTAGCTCACAGGATTAGGGTGGGGATTAAGTCAAGAATAACACAGGGATGTTGTGGAGACACACACTTGCCCTTAGTTGTGTTTACTCATCCATATGCTGGAAACCACTTCAGTTTCACAGCTAAGTTAAACCCTCTTTTCTTCTACAGTGACAAATCAATCCTGCTATAGAGCAGAGCAACAAAGCAACCTTTCTTTGTTGTTGAAGCCTTTATTGCACAAGTCTGTGCTTGCTTTTGTTCACTTCAAAGTGGGAGAGACAGACACACATGACTTTAAAATTCTTTTTAGAGTTTCAACTCTTCAATCCATATGCATTTCAAATTCTTATTTGTTGTCTGCACGTGTTTCCTCTCAACTCTTGTAAGAGAAGTAAGACTCGCTTTCTTGATTTAGGACAGGCTTGGGTGCTTTTCTGGTAGATGCTATAGGAATCAAGGAAAAAAATGAGAAACTCCTCACCACCACCATTTTCCCATCGACCAGCCGCCTGCGGATCATGGCTTCTTTGCCATCCCAGTCCTGAACTTGAACCAAGGAGTCGTTATCTAAGGTTACTGTACTCTGTAAAACAGAACCAAATTCAGGATGACACATTTGAGCACTTGATGTCTTAGAAGGTGATAAACTCTCCTCATCTGTTGTGACACTGTGGATTTAAGATGATACTAAGCTTTTTGTTTCAGAACCTTCCCAGCAGCACTTTGTTGGATGATTCTTCTGGGGGATGGGAAGATTTATAAGAATAAAAGTGACGACTTAAGGAAGTGAAACTTTATCTTTTGCAGTCTAGAGAAGGTCTTATTGTGATCAATCAGAAATAAGTTTCAGTTTCAACAACATAAGACTAATTCAAAAAGTCCCAGTGAAGCTTGAGGAGACAAGTCCCCTTTCTTGTTCTTAGGCATGGTATTTCCCAAAGGCTGTTTGTTTTCGATGTACTTGTCTTCTTAGATTCTTTTAAAGATTTTGTCACAGATACCTCAGATGGCTTTACTAATTGTTTCAGGTCAAAATTATTTCAATTTACATGTATCAGAATTCAAAGCCTCTTGTTTATTTAGTAACTCTAAAAAAGCTATAATAATTCCTTTTATCAGAATATTGCCCTTAGTAGGGATTAACAGTCCTACTGAGGTCATTCACCTAAACAGAAAGGATTTGTTGACCAGCTACTATACACCAACCACTGAGCACTGTGAAACAAATGACAAATGCCATTATTGAGATGGTACAATCTAGTATGGGGAAACTGATAACATACAATAAATGAAATATAGGTAATATATTATAAATAAATGCTATATTTCAATGAGAGGCAAGTAAAAGTTACCTGTGTCACTTTCAGGCTATGAAAATGAGCAATGTGGTGTTTCCTTCTCTCCCTTGTTGACTGAGGAGACCACACTTAACAATGGTACAGTTACAAAGAATGACATATCTGAACCTCTGGGACCCTGGGAGATTTAAAACAAAGAAATTCCTACACACACACACACACACCCACACACACACACACACACACACACACACACACACACACACATCCTCATCTCTACCCCAACAATTCATATATATTTGAATTATTAGAAATAATTCTCCATTGTTTTTAACCATGCAGAATCTCAGACTTGTTACAAGGTTACAACCTCATCTAGACTCAATTGTTACAGGGTTACAACCTCATCTAGATCAGCTAACACAAGTTGTAATCATTGTAAAATCCCATGTGTGGAGTCCATGCAAGGAAAGGGAGAACATTTGCTTCTGAAAGGATTAAGTATTAATTTGGTAGGCCACCCTCCAAATGTGGCCCACTAAGCATCACACGGAAATCACTGTCTACTGTGCATTTTCAGGGGCTCAACAAAGGGGGAAACTTAGTGGTCACCTAGGTCACAGGACGTAGAGCAACATGGGAAGAGTCTTAGTGAGGAACTGTCTGGATCAGGTTGGCCTGTGGGTATGTCTGCGGGGGATGGTCCTGATGGCTAATTGATGTAGCAAGACCCAGCCCAGTGTATGGCACCATTGAGCTGGAGAAGAGGGGTGGTGAACAGTATAAGAAAGAAGAGAACTAGCTGTGAGCCAGTAAGAAAGCAAGGCCATGTTTTTCTCTCTGCTCTTGACTGTGAATGTGATGTGACTAGCTGCTTGAGTTCCTGCCTTGACTTCCCTGAAATGATGGACCATGACCTGGAATTGTGAGCCAAATAAACCCTTTCTTCTCTAAGTTGCTTTTTGTCAGGGTTTTGTCTCATTGGCAGAAATAAAACTAGAACAAGTAATAAAATATATCTCACACCTCCACGGGATAAAATACAATCCAAGCATCTGAAGAGATCTTAATGTATATTTGCTTTCAACACCTTCAGGTTTAGCATTTAAGCAAAAAATTGTCTAAGAAACCCTGAAATGTATTGCTGCTGCCTAACACAATGTTTATAATTAAATGCAAGTTCTTTGAAGGTCTGATGCAGGCCTCACCTTTATGCAGCCACTTGGTGTGATTTCCTCAAACTCCTCCCCCAGCTTGAAGGAAATCTCATTGTTTTTAAAGATGCTTTTGGTTTTGATGGTGATCATGTCTCCTACTGTGCTGATGGTCACAGTGGGTTTTGCCAGACAGCCCAGCTTCCTGCTGGCTCTTCCTACTCCTAGAAGGAAGATAACAAACAGTTACACCTGTTGTTGGCTTCAAGAACTCAATCTATTTGTACAATTATTTCCTAAGGAGGAGGTTTCTGCAATAAGCAGACTTCATGCTGTATGAATTCAAATATCTATCTTAATTGCATTCATTTATTTGTGTGTGGTGTATGTGTACATGTGTATGGGTTATTTGTTCTCTATTATATTTTTTAATGTTATACATTTTATTATTAAAAACTTTACAAATAAATAAAAAACATTACATACCAAAATTTACCAGACCTAAAGTTTTATAGAACTCAGTATTACACATCTCATTGTAGCAAAATACACATAACACATATTTACCATTAAATGTTCAATCAATGGCATTATATGTATTATGATGTTGTATAGCCAAGTCTGCATATGGAGGGTCTTAAATATATTATTATTGCATTAAATATGTTGTTGTTCATCTTTCCTTTCTTTTATATTTATGTCTTGGAGATTTTAACATCAATGCATAGAGATGTGTATTTTTCTGTATGTACATCATCATCTATGAGATGCATATACCAAAGTTTATTTTTTTCTATCCCCCCATTGGCAACTGATTAGTTTCTATTTTTGTTGCTACAAATAATATTTCAGTTAACAGCCTTGTGCATTCAGTTTTCAACAGTACATGTAGGGATGTTTTCAATAGAAATAGACTTCCAGGTCAACAATATCTAGGGTAGGTATTTTAGCAGGTGACTTGGGAAATACTTTAATGTGGTTCTTGTGTATCCTGTTAGGATATAATCACAGCATATGTCAGATTAGATAATCGCTTCCAAATGAGTCATGTCCTAATTCCCAGAATCTGTGGCTATTACCTTGTATGCTGTGGGGACAGAGGATGTGTGCAGCACAAGATTATCCTAGGTGGTGAGAGAACTCTCAGTGTAGTCCCAGTGTGCTCATAAGAGAAAGCAGGCAGGTGGTGAGATGGTTCAGAGGGGAAAGAAAAGACTCGTGACCTAAACCCAACATCAGCACCCACACAAGGAAGAAGGAAAGAAGCAAGACACCACAAAGATGTCCTCTGACCTCTATACCACACCATGGCCCAGGTACTCACATGCACACACATACATCATGTTCACACACAATAGTAATTAATTAATAGTAACTTTAAAGGAAAGACGTATTAGACTATAGAAAAAGAAGGAGAAAAAAAGCAGAGTGAAAAATGGCTTGTCCCTGGAACCCTAGTGCTGGAATTAAAGGCATGTGCCACCACTGCCCAGCTCAACATTGTTTTCTATGTGAAAGAATGCTCTTATGTCACACATAGCAGGTCATACACTACCAAAGTATCTTTCATACTGGTATGATGTGCACATAAGCATGGCTCACCCAGTTCCTTCATATAGTTTTCAAAATTTTCACAGGAAACAGATTTCCATGTTCCTTGAAGCTGGTCCATCATCACGTCTCAGTGAAAACTGCTTCATATGGATGTGTGCTTTGGTGTTCCCTGAAATGGGTTGGGAACCTATTTTTAATACAATTCTCAACAAAGAAAACTAGGAGGAAAAGCGAGGAACACCCACCTTCATGGTTTTCCCTCACTCTATCTAAATCAAAAGCTCGCTACAGCATCAAGAAGCCAGCATGGAAACAGATATTTGGTAACCTTCAGCAGAGTTAGACATAGCTAAGCCAGCACTTATACGCTACTTCCCTTCTCCAGCACTGAACCCCACAGACGATATGATTCCTCTTATGCCACAAGACTCCAAGGTCTGCATCTGCCCACAGATGATTTGTAAAAAGCCACTATGCTGTCTGTCTGTGGTTTTATTTTCTCTTATATTCTTCTTGATAATTTGAATTAAAAGCCAGAGCATATGCATCTTTAACACCTGACATTTGAATTAAAAGTTTAGTTGGAGTCAGAACCAACAAGCTCCTTAATTCAGAGTGGCACTCTTCTTTTCAACCTTGACTGTACCTCCCTAATATCTAGAAGTATATGCACTAGCTCAAACTACATGACCAGAACTAGGACAGTAAACACACCAACTAGAGAACAGGGCTGGAGTTGGCAATTAGAAGGACAAATGTCCTAAAAACCACCAGCCCCTGTGGTGGTTCCAGCCCCTTAGGTTCTAAGCAGCACTTGGTGTCTATATATTGGCATGTGGCCATTAGGAAACATGGGTGCTACAAATTCCCTAAGACAGGAAAGGTGGTACAACTTTTATAATTCCCATTAAAATGTTCAATTTCCAAAACCCACAATAACTGTAAAGATCATTAGCCAGGTCAACTATTTTCCTAACAATTATCCAACAAGCATAAATGGAGTGACCAGTCTTGCATGCCGAAGAAGACTAAGACTTTGTGCATACTGTTGACTAGATATACCCTAGCTATAGTGGTAAGGAGACAATAGTATTGTGGTTGGATCGTTCCTGAGTTAGGCAACTTGGCATGTTTACTTATATTAGTGTGTAAATATTATGAGTTTATGCCCACTCCGTGTAGACGTCATGAGTGGTAGGCAAGAAATGACCTGGTGATTCTCAAATAGAAAGCACTAAAATTCCTATGTTGAACATGCTACTATTCATGTTATTGTCCCTCCATCATAAACACATAGCTGGTTGAAATCTCCTGAACAAGACACCACACCAGAATGATATTGCTCTGTGTCTCATAACTTGGGTTTTAGGACATGACAGTGGGTGAAACATGACAGAGTTCAGGCATAACTTCTCTCTAACACCTGACTCCTCTCTTCCTGAGGAAGCATGTCAAGTGATGGATGCTTTCTGATATTCATTTTTATGAGTTAAACATGTACATTCCATACTGCCTCAGCTACGCTTATCTGCCATTATCTAGTCCATCCTCCCAGATTCCCAACCAGCTTATGTAGTCACCTGTTATTACATCTGTATTTCTGTCCTTAGCCATTGCTCCCTCTACAGGAGATAGGTGACAGATACTTCACTCTGTCCATGGAAACAATTTTCCTGCACTACTTCTTAAGCCCCCTCCTACTCCCAAAGTAATAAAATGTGGCCATTACAGCTTTCTCCCAACGTTGAGATGGCTCACACATAGAGCATCTGCTCAGGATTTCCCTCCCCTTTTAATTGGCTATACTGTCCCCCTATGATTCTAGATAACATCTGAGGGTGGGGGGCAGGGGGATTCTGGTGTTCTGAGATGTGATATGGGAGTCAGGGCTCCGTATTCATGAGATCACCTTGTGACTTTTGCACTTCCTAAGCTTGCTCTCAGATGCAGTTTAGTCTTGTGGTGGATTGCTTCTGGACCTGTGTGGAGTAATAACTATGTATCTATAGAGCCCAGCTCATAATGGGTAGTTCCATTCCTGGTGGAGTCCTCTAGCTCAGAATTCTATCACTACCAAACTACATAACACAAGAACTCTTTATCAAATTGCATGTATATTTCTGTTGATTGTCCAGAAACATCAGAATTCCATGTTGAATGCTCCTGTAATGCTCCCACTGGGCTAAACATACAGTCTCTTTCCTGTCACTATGATCCAGCCATCAGAGGGTTTGTCAATCATATGAATCAAGCTAATACTGTATCCCTAACTTTCTGCAGATCTCCTTCATGCATGCTGCTCCACTTAAAGGTAGAAGACTGTTACTTGGGTGAGCCCCAGGAAAAAACAGAAAGCAGGGATTTTTGCCCTATTTATTTTCTAGTCAGTTATTTTTAAATTCTTGTATCTTTCTGCCTTGCAGCACCAAGACTAATTTTTTAAAAATCCCATCCACATGTGACTGATAGCTAACTCTCATGTAACTTTTATAAAATGCCAGACTTTAGCTCTTTCTGACAATTCTGTTGTCTTTACCCATGGCATCATTGTAAAGATCTCTCTCTCTCTCTCTCTCTCTCTCTCTCTCTCTCTGTCTCTCTCATTTTGTTATTGTTTTTGAGGCAGGAAGGATCAGAGTGAGTTCTAGGGCAGCCTCCAAAGCTACAGAGAAACCCCATCTTGAAAAAAAAATATCCAAATCAGTCTTTTTCTTGGATGAACTCATGTTTCAAATATAGTTTTAAAGTTAAAAATAGCATGTTATATATTGGTAAGATTGCTTGATATTATGAATATTGAAAACCAATAATTCAATAAAATTGAGCAATAAAATGCCTCTTCTTCAGCTTCCTGATATACTATTAGGTATTCGTATGAAAGCATGGGGAGATGCAACAGGTTAAGATTCTTTTATAATGCTGGAGAATTTTGTATGTCTCCTTCAAGTCCCCCTGTGAAAGGAAAGACAGTGTGGGGATGTCATTCACTAGGTTCCAAAGGGCTAATTTCACTTTGTCCAGCTCTAACATACTTCAAACTGCTTAGATGAAATAACTCAAATTCATTATGCCAGAAGCTGGAAACTCTTATATGGTGAAGCTTTCAACCCCTTTGGAGTCAAGTTTTAGGATCTATTGCAGATTGGTATTGTCTCTATATCTTTCCATGGAAAGGGTGTGTGTGTGTGTGTGTGTGTGGTGTGTGTGTGTGCG